TTGTTTAATTTCCTTCAATATAAGTGATAAATAAGATTACCAAATAAAGAAATCAAATTTAAAGAAGATAATAAGCAATCTCTAATATTTAATTTAAAAAATTACATAAAAGAAAAATAGAGATTTTAATAAAGTAAAAAAAAATTATAATGACTATTACTAAATATAAAGAAACTAGAGAGTCTTAAATAAATATTAAAATATAAAAAAGTATTGAAAAGATTGACAATGGTCTTAGTCTTATTTTTATTTATACTATTTATTTCAAAGATCTTATAGAAGTATTATAGGAATTGCAAAGTTTATAGTCCAAGCATCAAATTATAGGTTGCTTCTAATGCAACCTTTTACCCACATCTATTCACTTCATTTAATTCTACTTGGATATAATTACTTAAGTATTATAAGCATTTGTTATACAATCTATTTCATAAAAAAAGTTATCTATCTATCTATCTATCTATCTATCTATCTATCTATCTATCTATCTATCTATCTATCTATCTATTTATTTTATATAATATTTTTAAATAAATATTTAAAATCAATAATTATTTAATACATAAGATATTAAAACTTGTTTATGAATTTGAAATCAAATTTTGAACAAAATAATGATTATTTTTCAATGTTCTTAATTAAAAACTTAGTATAAATATAGTTTTAAAGGTTAATTTATATACAAGTATTTTTTTATATAAAATTAAATTTTTGATTATAAAATTTAATATTTAATTTTTAATTCTCCAATGATTTGGATTTGTAGAAGAATTTAAAATTTTAGTTAAAAATATTGTTTAAAAATTCAATACATCTTAAATAGACTAAACTAGTTTTTGTAAGATTTTTTTTAAGATAGTCTCTTGATCCTATTTTATCCAAATTGATTTTCCAAAAAAAATAAATTTTAAGTAATTAACATGTATTTTTTATATTATATTCTAATGTATATATTTAATAAAATTATAAAACTTAACAACATCTATAAAGTTAATTTTGTTGATGACAATTAGACACAAAACAATTTAATAAAAAGACTTACAGTTTCAATTAAGAAATGAAAGTATTCTAATCGACATCAAAATTTAGTTAAATTATATTTAAAATATTAATTTATTAATAAGTATGCTTTTCAAAGATTCACATTTCTTAAGTAAGTTGTCATATTAAATAATTTATTTTAAATTAAAAATAAATTTAATAAATTTAATTATTTGGATATTAGAAGGATTTTTACTGTTTAAAAATGTGGGAATGTAGTATTAGGACCATGTAAATAGGCAGTTATATGATACACAGTGATAAAGTATATAAAATTGTTATATAAATTAGGACAACTAAAAGGCACTTTTACAGTTATAACAAATGTCTATTATTTTAGTCTTTTTTCATAGTAATAAAACTTTCAAAATGCTAAAATACACAAAAAAAAATATATAAATTATAATGCCTTTTTATTAACTAAATCTTGTAACCGAAAAACTCATAATTCCAAAAAAGAAATACATGATATTCTTATATCAATAATAATACATCACATGGTAATTTCTATAAAATATTTTATTACTTCTTTTAAACAATTAATTCACTTGGTCTCTAAATTTTAATAATTTTTTTGAAACAATTTGTATCATATTTTTGGAGCTGGTATATTTTAGTTGTTACATAAGTCTTATAGTGCATCTCTCTTTTATATAAATTATTCTTAAATAGTTTTGTTGTAGAAACATCTTTGGAATATTTCAATATTAACTTTATGTACTTAGTAAGAATTTTATCTTTATATAATAAATAAATAAGTAAAAGCTAATCTTTGCACAACTACATATTCTACAATAGGACTCTATTCGGCATAAATATACACAATATAATTATTTTTACATTATGTAAGTGCCAATATACAATTACCTTGTTTCATTTTAATATATTGCAAGCACAAACTAATCTTTTGATTATATTGCAGTTATTGAGGGTTTCTTGCCATTTCTCACCACTTCTTTTGATAATCCATTTCTTTTTCTCTTCAATCTAAATGAGTTGAACTCTAAATTTTAACATTAAAAATAAAATAAAAAATATATTTACTGTCCATTTTTTTATTCTATAAATATTTTAATATTCTAAAATTTTTCATTATAACTTTGTTACTATGAATCCTTTTAAAATAAATTAAATACAATATATTTTTTAATACGCATTATAAATTATTAAAATATATCCAAATTAGAATTCTGTGGATCTTGAATTTTGGATTGACACAAAAACTAGCATAAATAAATCAAAATTAAGAGATCTAGTTTTTGCAATTATTCTTCTACTGTTGTATAAGATACAATGAATGGTTTCTATCAAGATTATTTTTGTTGGATTATTATTATTATGACTATTTTATAAATTTATTTTGTTCTATTTCAACAAAATATATATATATATATATATATATATATATACATAATACGAACCTATTTTCAATTCATAAATGCATGATTGAAAAATAAACATGTATTCAAGTATATGATAAAATTAATAAATGTGTCATGGTAATTCTACTATTATCGTGAGAATTATTTTTAACCATGTATCTTCAAATTTGATAGTAAAAATGTTGCAAAGTTAGCCTAAAATAAGAATTTATGTCTTTTGTTCACTCAAAGTCTATAAAAATTTATAATAATGAATATATCTATGCTAAAATATCAATATATTTTTAAAAATATTCTTATTCAAAAAGAGTTTGAAAAACTTTAAATTAAATCTATTTAATTATTAATTGTGTCTTTAAAATAAAATCTAAAAAAACATATTGTTTTTTATTTATACATGTATATCAATTCATGGTTTATTTATAATTTTTAGTGTTAATGTGCTTTTGTCTTTTTCTTTGGTTAATGTATTTTTTATAATAAAGCACTTATTCATATTTAAATAATTTATAACTGATTTTTATTTAAAACTGTTTATTTAAAAACAGATGCATTTGCAAAAAAAATTGCACTTATGGTTTTTTGTAATATTTTTATTATAATTAATATCAATTATTAATTCAATAAATTTTTAACTCTAACTAACTTATCTGAATTAACATACCTCATAAAGTAATCCAAATTATATTTTATTGGTTTTTGATGGGTCCTGAAATAAAAAGATCAAATACATACAAATATCTTAAAAGTTAAGTTTTTGAAGGTTGTTGTCACGTTTAAAAAAAAATATTAAAGTAACATACTTTTAAGTATGAAATCTATGTTTGAAATCAAGAACAATTATAATTAATTTCCTTGTTTATTTTTAAAACAGCTTTAGAAATAATATTTTTAATTTAATATTTAATTTTATAATTTTTCACTCATAAAACTTGTAAAACTTAGCTAAGGTGTTTTACATCCATAATATACAGCAATAAAAATTCAAGCCAATGATACAATTTATTTAAAAATAGTTGGATTTAATATTGAGTGACTAGTAACATTCAGAATTATTCTATTATTTTAGTAATTGATGTTGTGTTGTAAATTTTTCTTTCATGTTTAAGCTTGTTTCAAATTAGATTGTTTGAAAAAAGAAAGTAAATAATAAACAATAATTTCAAAAATAATTTTTGGCAATCAAAATCTCAATCTTTTATCAAAATGAATACATTGCAGTTAACATAACGTTTTCAACCGACAAAGTCTGCAAGATTCATACATTATTATATAAGATAACTAAAACCTACAAAAAGGATGGTAAGAGGCACCAAAATCACAATTAACTCAATTACCAACAAAACTACCAACAAGCACCCTCATTTCTTCCAATTTTTTTTAAATGAATAAAAAAGTCACTAAAAAAAACCACAACCAGAGATTCAAATCTCAGAATAAAAAAACAGAAATAAAAAATAGAAATAAAAAAAAAAAAAAACTCTCAACATGTGTGGAAATCCCTCATCAACCCATTCATTCACACATAAAATATCAAGACAAAGCTTAAAACCATGGACAACCGGAACCCATGTGGCTACGCGAAGGCCGCCATCACAGAACCTCATCATAAAAATCGTGTTCTTTTGGTATTGAATATTGTGTTTTTCTTTATTGTTGTTTTTGGTATGGTTTTGATGGTGGTTTGCAGTTCCATTCTATTCTATTCCCACTTCACAGACTCCAACACCATTTTTCGGAACAAAAAGGGTATCCGCCTTCAAGTCGCAACACAAAATCTAGACATTCTAGACATACACACCGGATTCCGAGTTCGAAGTGCAAGCTTGCTTCATGCCATTCCGGGAGATCCATGGCCCCCCGTGATTCGCTGCCTCCCGCCCACGGATTCCGCATGTCGCGTAAACTTATCAATTACTCATTTCTTCCCTGCTTTGCTCCGAAATTGGCTTCCCATTCCTCACCTGGACCAGTTTCGTTTTCCCTGGAACAATTCGGAAATGGGTCATCGTTCAGGCGGTGGCTTATGGGGTACAGTGTCTAGAGTAATCTAGCGTTGATGTTTTACTTGTAGAGATCGAGAGGGCGTGATTTACCTTGTTACTTTTCCATGTTGTCCATTTCTTTGTTGGATGTGGAGTGGGTAATAGTTTTTGTTTTCGTTTTTTTATGTGGGTCATTGGCGGACGTAGTTGAAATTGATGAGAGTTACGGTGAGGTGAATGTGATTTTTCGGCTTGAATTCCAGTGCGAAGCAGGTTGGATATGTGGACATGTGGGCATGGAAGGGGAGGGATTTCAGTTGTGGTGAGCGTGGGAGGAAAGGAGAGGAATGACTGTTGCCACGTTAAGGGAAAAGTCCGACCCGGAGGAAATCCAACCCTGGTCGCTTGTCAGTAAAAGTGCAACTCTCTGTGGAGATCCAGCGACGCCACAGGGCTCCATTTGAGCTTTCCAATTTGCAACAGCGGGAACGCCCCCCGGGAATCCGCCTCGAGGTGCCTCCGAAAGATTCCTCTTCACTTCCCGTCTCGCTCCGCGTTCGTTTCGCATCCGCTCACAAAGCATCCCGTCTTGCAAGGTTGATTGGACCCCAAGCAGGAAGGGATCTCCCGCACCGCCGCGCACGGTTCTCTACACCGCCCCCGCGCGGCCTCCCCAATTAGTCGGTTCCCTCTCAGTCAGTGCTTGATTTCCAGCCTCTGAGTTGATCCTTAACTCGGTTGCCTTCCTTCCAAGATCGACTTTTTCGAGGACTTGTTTCCGTCTTGGAAGCTCCTAATCCCTCTACTGCAGCGCACTTCTTCGAGTCTAGATAGCTTCACATGAGAGAAATCCGACTGAACTAGAACTAGCTTGAACGTTTTGTGTGTCTCTGGAAGCGTAGTGGCGACGCTGACTGCAGTCACTTTGGTGACAGATTGTTGCTACACGGAGATTATGAGAGAAAGAGAGAGCCATGTGGTAACACATTCATTTTGGGTTGTGGGGGTTTAGATCGTCATGGTAAAATGTGAGTTCCTGTGATTGAGGTTTGGAGGATGCAGGGCAGTACACATTGGTAGCTGAATGGCGATTGAAAGTTCTTCGCATTCTTATGTTTTTCAGATGGGTGCGGATATTGGTCTCAAAACGGGGTTGTATTTGTACTCGTCATGATCGGCGTGGTGCTAGCTTCTGCTGTCGGCGGAGAGCCTTTGTGGTGATTGGTCATGGCCGAGGCGTTGACCTCGTTGAGTGGCGAGGATCCATTTTTGGAGGTGAAAGCTATTTCGAGGATCGTATTATCGAAGTCCACTCGCGAACATGAGGTGCGTTTTGTCAAGGAGGATTGGTGTTTGTACGCTTATGACATCGATCTGTCTCTCATCTCAAGTTGTGGGAGTTCCTGGTCTTTTACGATTGGGACTTACATCTTTCCATATTTTGTTGCTGGTGCTTTGAAGGTTACATGTATTTAGTGGGCTTGAGGCGAAGGCCCACGTAGCAGTGTTTTTACTTAGTTAGTGCCTCACCCTTTGATGCTGCAAAAGCCATGTGCTGTATAACTTTTTTTCACAAACTATACAGCAGGAGTTTCTTTCGTAAAACCATTTTCATAGCTTCCCGAACCATGCACAATAATGTTCCGTTTCGTTAGATTTTGAGTTACATTATCTGGAGTGAGGACCCAGCATCACAATCCGATGTACAATATGAACCGCTTTGTTTCTGGTGAAACCTAACTGGATTGCATATCGTATTCAGGAATCCTACAAAAATGAGATAACAATTGGGCGACGTTTTCACACGCTAGGTGTCCCGGGAATGGACCAGGCGAAGACTCCTGTTAGGCACAGGTCATTGCAATATCGCAATTCTAAGAAGAATCCAACAGCAGAAACTCCTAGTTCTCGTCCAACGACGGTGACGAATCTATGTCACAGCGATTCAAAGCATCTGATGTCAGAAAGTCCTGGCGGTCGTCCGAAGAGTGCAACACACTTACACCCTTTGCAAGCGTCTATCCCTGGATCTGCAAAGACTGCGAAGTCTCCTCGTAAACCTAAAGGGGAAGACATATGGAGCAGTGAAGAATGGGAAACAAAGAGCATGACCACCAAGAAGACTGGGATATGCAAGTGTATGGCAGGAGCAGCAGCTGATTGCACAGCGGTGTGCTGCTGCCCTCTTTCTCTTCTACACCTCTTAGCGCTTGCGTTCATCAAGCTGCCTTCTACAGTTGCCATCCGGACCCTCAGGAAGATGAAATCCAAGCTTCGCAAGAAACAGATGCGTCAAGAATTAACTGATGACGATATGGGTCCTATAACACCATTCACGCCTTCTCTTTCATGCGGAGAGACTCTGGATGAATTGCCTTGGGCACCATCTGCAGGATTTGCAGATTCTCGGATGTGGCAAGAGTACTTCGGCTCGGAAGCTTCGGACTTTTCAAACCATTCGACGATATAACTCATGTTGCTCAGTACCAATTTTTTAAATTTTGTACAGTGCAATGTGCGCACTGAGGATTACTAGACACTCTGAATTTTCCATTTGACAGTGCTCACAAAGGTGGCTCTTTCGCTCTTGCCCAGGTTTAGCTTTGAATTGTCTTGTGTGTATTTATTGTGTCAAGGTTGATGACATGTGAGTGTTCTGGTTGGATTTTCTCATGTCCATTTTGATATTCTAGCCAATCTCACTGGATTTGTAAGCACTTGTGGCCTTCTATTCAATCTTAATCAATGACCATAATAAGTTCAAATATGGTTTTCCAACTTTAAGTTAGTATGTGCTAATGAATATATATTGTACATGAGTTTGCAGCACAAAATGTAACTAGAAGTTAATCCTAGTTTCAAACTTAGTTTTGAAATCACTTCTGAAAGAGATGTACACTGTCTACAACATTTAGATCTGTACATTCTGTCATTTGCGAGTAATAATTCCTTGTCTTTGTTACAAGGGTCTGATATGATCCAATAATACATTTTCAATTGTTTCTTTTTTAATTTTTTGCCAATTTATTTTTGCAACCAACCTTCAATCCATGTAGTAACAATGTAATCACAAGTTTTTGTAATTTTCTCTTTACACCTATCTAATCAAAATCTAAAAAATGCTAATGAAATGAATGTACATCTTTTACAACACTACATAATTATTTTGTATGATATTAATCCACTACATATTCATTGTTCTTAATTGTATAATCTTCATTAGGTTAAGCTTTGTATTTCACATATAGTTTTTAATTTTCACTATACCTTTGTACTTTTTTTTAATTCAACAAACTTATTGAATATATACAAAATATAAATTGGAATGAGAAAATTTTCTACATTATTAGTTGCAAAAAAATATCAAATATATAATAATACTTTGCAAATTTTTTAAAAAATAAGATTTTTTTAGATTGTACTAACGAGAATAATTTTAATTGATGCCTATATTATTTGAGTAAATAGAAGTAAGTAGAAGTAGGTAGAATATGTAAGGTAGATAATATCTTCTTTAAAAAACTTCAAAAAAGTTTCTTACATATAGATTAGATCTTTAGATTTCTTTCTCTTTTACTTGATATATATATATGTCATGTGACTATTGAAGTTAGTTCTACAAGTTTTCTACTTTTAAGAAGTCGCATTGGAAGAAATTCACAACTTAATGCTTTGGACACAAATCACATGATTCTATTATAGCTTTTAAAATGCCTTTTTTGTAGTTACTATATGTAGAGATAAAAGTGAAGTCATCTTTAGTCTTGTCAAGATCTTTTTTGTATTTTAATCTTGATTTATAACTATATAATCTCTTTGTATTTGGCAATAATAATTATAGTTATTTTTTACTACATATTTTGTTCTTCTTTCTTTCTTTTTAATAATACATAAGTGTAATAACTTTTGAATTTTGTCCAATTTCATTTTTTTAACAATTTCACAAGAATAACATTCATAATATCAAATCTTAATCTTTCTTAATAAAAAATATTTTATTCTTTTATCTAAATACATCAAATTGATTTAAAGATTGTGGAACACCATCTTTTAAATTGATATTATTTTTTGCAATCCATTTTTCTTTTATTTTTATTTTTATGTAAAAAATCTTAAGTCTTTACAAGAATGGAAAATTTGGAAGAAATAAAAAAATATCATAGTATAGATGTAAGAAAAAAAAATTTAATATTCTTTATGCATCAAAAATTTTTATCGCCTTAATTAACATTAATAGTGAATAATTGTAATGACATGGAGATGATAAGAGTTTCTTCAATAATTCCATTGCCTTGACTAATTCATACAATTAATTAATACTAATTTTTAATTAATTAATACATTGTATCAACTAAAAAAATAAAAAATATTCTTATGGAGAAATTTGATGGTATTAGATTTAATTTTTGAAGATTCATCATTCAAATATAACTTTCTATTCAACTCTAATATTTTAATTATTCAGTTCAAACATTATAGGTAAGATTTATTAGAACTTTATTTTGTATTATAAATATATTAACACTAATAATTACTTAGAAAAGAGAAGTTAAGTAGAAGTTAGTAGGAAGAAGTAGGTAAATTTGATAATATCTTGTGATGTAGTTTTATAGATGTAAACCTATTAGGTACCTATTGACCTATTACATATTGACCTATTAGTTACCTACTTAGTTATATAATATATATGGAAAAAAAAGTAAGGTCTTCTTCAGTTTTGTGAAGTCTTTTTTTGCTTCTAATCTAATTTCAAGAGTTTGTAGCTTTATTATCATTGGCAATAGCCAATCTAATTTCTTCTTGAATATACATACTTTTTATTTCTTTTATATCATATTTCTTTGAGACACATCTCACCTGTTTAATTACATTCTTCTAGTTCCTGACCTAGGCACTTTGTATATTTGATCTTTTTTAATTCTTATTATTCTTAGAACAATAAGATAATACAACAAACAATTTAGATTTATTTTCAGCAAAACTTTGATGTGTGGATAGGAATCATAATGCCATTTATAAAAAAAGAAATTAAAAAAAAATTAAAAAAGAATCTAAATTTTATAGTAAGAAAATAAAATTCAAGTCTATATGTATATTATAATATTCTTGATGAACAATTGATATTAAGTAAAACATCATTGCACATATAAGTCAATTTCTTTATAAGTTATAATGTCATGTAACAATACTATTGTTTAACTTGTTTAATCCTCAAAGTTTGAATTAAACCAATGAATTTGTTATAAAATGCATCAATCAAATATTTGAATTTTGATCAAAAGTTGTATGTTAGAATCTCAACACTTTTGTATTTCCTTCTTCAAAAACTTCTTCCAATAAGTTATGTAATAAACCATAGAAGATATGCAAATTGATAGTATACATTTTAAATCTCTTACAACATAGAAAAGAACTTGATATTAATAAGAATAAATATACCTATATTATGGAGAATTAAATTATATACTTAAATATTATTTCAAAAAATAAAAAATTACAAGTCTAAAAGAAAACAATAGATCACATTAATAAGTTTTTCCAATAACATTACAAACTTTGCAATTGAAATCCTCTACCATATTATCATATGTAGAATATATATATATATATATATATTTTTAAATAATTTGCTTTTTTTAGTCGAAGCCTATTTAGGATCTGAAATTCCTATCATTTCTACCTTTATCTTAGTAGAATTTGGTACCTTTTTTTTTGTTATCTTAATAATTGTTTCATTAAATATCATAAGATATTATTAATATAAATAATCAATATTGTACATATAGAAGTCATAAACAAAAATTATTTATCTCTTGGAGATGTTACAAACAAAACCCTACTAATACAAGTAATTCTAAAAATTTCTAAAATTCTAATAGTATTTAATATTATAATTTATTTTTGTAAAATTTATTAATTTAAGATTTTCATAATTTTAAAAATAAATTATTTAAATAAATTAGATATCTTCTGAATTGAATTTTTTATATAAAAAAATATCAAAATATAAAATAGAAATTATATATAATAAAATATTTATTTATAACAATAAGAAAATTTATATAAGTTTTTAAAGAAAGAAATCCATTTTTTATTTATGTAGTACTAAGTCTTCATTTAAGTGGATGTTACATAAGTATTCTATAGCAATATAAGGAATATCATATTGTATTTGAAAAGAAGAATGTTAATATGTTGCCAAAATATAAATTTTATAATTATGAAATTGATCTTCAAGAAAGGACTTAATTACTATTAGGAATATTTTATAACTTGCTATAGAAAAAAATTTCTAATTTGAAAAAATATATTAATAAAAATTTGGCAAAGAAATTTATCTAATATGTAAAATCTATTAAGAGTACATCAATCTTCTTTCTTAAGAAAAAAACATTAGATTCTTGCATATGTGTATAAGTTATTATAGATTCAATAAATTAACTATTAAGAATTATTATCTTTTGTTTTTAATATTGGAAATTTGTGACCAATTGAGTGAAATGAAGATTTATATTAAGATTTCATATGAATCTATAATTTGATAATATTAAACAAAGAATAAATAAAAAATTACATTCCAAATTAAATATGGCCATTTGATTATTGTATTATATCATATGGACTTTAGTTGCTTTCTAACATTTATTATAGAATATATTTTATGAATTATTAAATATTTTATTATTATTTGGACAACATTCCAAACTACTCTAAAAATATAGAGGAGTCCTAAAATTATGTTTCTTTTTTACTACAAAAATTGAGAGAAGCAAAACCATATTCCAACATAGAAAAATTTGTATTTTATACAATTCAAATAGAATATTTATAAATATCTTCTCAATTGATAGTTTGTAAATAGATTCTACAAAGTTATACACTATCACAAATTGAAAAATAATTAAGAAAAATATATGATATCCAATGCTTTTTAGAATTTGCAAATTATTATCAAATATTTATGAAGATTTTTTCTTAATTTATTATAAAACTTATATAATAAACCTACAAAAAAATATTTAAGGAGAATAAATATGTAGAAGTAATATTTTAAGATTTAAAAGTAGCTTTTGGTTTTGCTTCTATTTTATACTATTCAAATTTCTTTAAGTTATAGCTTATTGAAATAAATGCATCAAAATTTATATTTGGTCTAATTTATTACAAATAGATGTGGATGATAAAATTTATATTATTTATTTATTTATTTATTTATTTATTTATCCGAGAAAGTTTTTGATAGCTAAGATCAATTATGAGATTTATAAAAAAGAAATTCTTATTATTATAAATTCATGCTAAGAATAACAACATTATTTGGAAGGTGATTCTAATTTAATAAAATTTTATATTTATCATAAGAACCTTAAGTATTTTATATTAGCACATGTCTTAAATTGTTGCTAAGCTCATTAGAACATCTCATTGTCATATTTTGTATTTAAAATTACATAGTAATCTAAAAAATAAACAAAGCTTGTCATATGCCTTCTCTAGACAATCTCATATTCAACCAAAAAAAATAATGTGTATAGTCAAGAATAGATGATTGCTTTAAAACTAGTGCAATTGCATCTTTGAGTTGTCAAATCAACAATCTTAGTTGATAATAATTTCCTTAATGAAGTTTGTATAAGTATGTAAACAAACCCTGTTATCCTAAATGTTGAAAATAAACTCCATAAAAATTCTTGTATATTTGAATTTAAGAAATATTTTCTTCATTATAAAGAGAGAGTATATATTCTATAATATAAAAAAAAATCATGTGTACTTCAAGTACAATATGGCTTTTTAATAATAAAATAAATTAAGTATAACAAAAATTTAAGGCTTATCTTAAGACATTTTTAGTAGTTTGAAATGTGTAAATTTGTTATAACATATATTCATTCTTATGACACTTGGTTTAGAGCAAAGAATCTATTTTGTTGATTGTATGGATTTCTTCAACTTCTACCTATTTGAAAGCAACTTTAGTCATCTATTTCAATAGATTTTATTACAAATCTTTTAGATTCAAATTCTTATGACAATTTTTTGTGTGATGGTGTATTATGTAATCCAAATGACACATTTTTTACCTTGTATAAAAATTATTAAAAGTAAAAAAATTGCTGAATTTTTTCTTTATTAATACTTATTGATATTATGGGCTTGTGAATAATAATATATTTTATTAAAGGCCTTAGTTTATATGAAGGTTTTGGAGAATAGTCTTCAACATATTAATAATTAATATTAAGTTATCTTTAGTTTTAAAATTTTAAACTAATAGATAAACAGAAAGTATAAATGAAGTATTGGAGTTTTTATTGCAACATGCTATCAACCATTACCTAGACAATTAGAAAAATCTCTTAATATTAGTGGATTTATTAGGTAATAATGTGATACATTTTTTTTCTCAATAAACTCTATTTTTTTACTAATTATGATTATCATGTATTACTTGATATTTTAAATATATAAAAATTAAAGATTTAGCAAGTAAAATAATAAAGCTTTACATTGAAGATATAATTCAAAGAGCCTAAAAACAAAAAAAAAAAAAAAAAAAAAAAAACTAATGCAGATGTTCTTAGAGAAGAACAACATCCATTCAAAATTGGTATTAAAATATTATTATTTCTTTATAATATGAAGACAAATTAAAATTTTGAGAATAATACAATTATAAAATTTATCTACATTCATTTTCTTGATAGTAATGTATTTTGTGCTATGAATTATGCAAGTACAATAAATTAGAATAATATATACTTAGTATTTCATATAAATGAATTATTTCTTTTTAGGTCACTAAATATGTAACTTATGATTAATTTTTTTTTTATTCAAAAAATTATGTTATTTTAAAAAAATACTTGTGAAAAATAAAGAATCATGAAAAAATATTAAAATAAAATATATTATTGAAGATATAATTTATTGATTTTAAATAAGATTATAAAAAGTCTCTATAATATATTTTTTTTTCATAAATAAATTCAAATTAAAAGGTTATAAGGTACATTTAAATTTAAAATAAAATAAAGTGTTGTGAAAGCTGCTAATATAGAGGTTGTGGATACAAGTATAGAGAGAAACAATTTCTATATCTTTATCTGTAAAAAAATGAATGATAAACAAGTGAACATTGCACTTTCAAATACAATATATGACAAAGATCCGAAAAAAATGACGAATAACTTCTTAGATTTGATGTACAAAGGTTTTCTCAAGACAAATATGGAAGGGTAACATTTCAAATATATGTTAGGGATTTTACATTTGAATGATTATATAATACTATTTTATAACAAAGATAATTTGTATAGGTAATTTAATTTTATGTTTTTTTTAAATAAATAATATTTTTTTATTTCTAATAAAAATGTATCATCTTAATATTATATATATATATATATAGTTGTTACAATTTTATATGTTGATTTTTAAAAATCCCCTCCACTAAGAAATCCCCCTTTTCCTTTGACTTCTAATGAACATCACTTTGTTTTCACACATACTACTACTGATTATTATTTCAATATTCTAATTTTAGATTTTAAATACTACCATCGGCACAAATGTAAAAGATCATTCAAAGAATCCCACTTCAAGAAACGAAAAAAAATTAATTTTCGGATTCCTCTTACTTGAAAATCATGTTGAGAACATGTTTGAAAAGCATAATAAATCATAATAAATCACAATAAATCACAATAAATCCAAATTCCTAAATTTGGCCCTCAGGGCACGCATGTTATTACATCACAGAAAGTGAGGGTTCAATTTCATCCACTTCAGGACCAACGACATTCGTTTATTTTAACGAACGAACGAAAACATCAATTGATAAACGAGAGTCATCCTCGTATGGGGGACGGAATACATCCATGGGAGGAAGACGGGGTGCCAGTTTCCTGCCGCTGGGCATCGCTCCACCCAAGCGTGAGAGAATTGCAATAGCGGTGAAGGAACCGAGTTTACATGGCTTGCGCATCAAGGTGTATGAGCATTGTGCCACTTACTGAGACCCAGTGTGCGATTTTGTTTTCTAATGGGTTGAGTTTGGGTTGCTCAGTTGCAGTAGCTGATGGATTCGCCTCCATAGGATAAAATTCGCTTCGGAGTTTGGTCCGTTCAAGCATCGGCAGCTGGGTCCGTGCGCCATCCCTTTGGAATCGAGCAATTTTGTTGTTTAATTCCATTTTGTGGGTTTCCAGAGTTTTTGATCAGCATGTAACGTTTCGGAAGTTGGTGTGTGTTTAGGGTTTTTGTGTGAACGATGAACGAGGTTGTGAATTGCGTGGAGAGTTTGTAGGGTTTTTGTGGGCTAGGTTTGGATTCTTTTGGTTTTTGCGATCGGTGATGGGAAGGTGGGGGCTGAAGTGGACGTCAGTTTGCATGCTTTGGATGTAGTGGAGCGTTTGGATATGGCTTCGCTTAAGTGAATGTTGAGAATTGGCAATGGGGAATGCAAACAGAATGCTAGTGGTGGTGTTGATATTTTGCAGTGTGTTAGATCAATTTGAGCATGACCTTGCTGGATTTGTTTTGCCATTTATTGCTTGTCCATCATGATTTGGTCATGGTGGAATTTTTTTGGTGTTGTAAGCGTTTTTTTTTTTTTTTTTTTTTTTTTCTAGACGTGCGTTAATATTAGTAGCCCTTCTTTTTTTTTCATCTACAGAGCAGCTTGAAATTAATTGTCATCATGGGAGACAATGAGAAGACCCCGCTGCTCAAGCCTGAGAATCGTGGAATACAAGTGAGCTATTCTTGTGTTCTGCTTCTTTAGCTTGACTGATTAGTTTCTACTCGTTGATGCACATTGACGTGTGTGTATTTTATGGCTTAGGACTACTGCATCATATTTCATGTTACTGCTGGTTTAGTAATAGTTGATTCCAGCCACGACTTCTATTGGATTGGGGCGTTACCTTTGCTTGATTGATATCTGACCACCGCAAATAATTTCAGTTATTCTCTGTTGTTTATTTTAAGAATATAGATTTGTGGATTCCAATTGGTCAGCTGTCTTTAATACGATCACAATAAACAGCATCAAGGAAGTCTTAGCAAGAAACTGATGCATACTCTCGTCCCAAACTTTACAGAATGGCAAAGACGTTCGTTTTAATACTAAGTTACCTGGAGGAACAGATCTTGAGGTCGGTGATGCTGTCCAGGTGAGATTGGTTCAGCTGTGTAGCCTGTTCGGCAGCGTGACCAAGCTGGTGGATGTCCGAATGGTTTTTGTTAAACTTGTCTCTTTCAGTAGTTCCCTAGTATGCACGTCAGTTTCCGTTTCAGAAAGTTGGGAAGCCCAAATTGAATGTAACTGGCTTTGAGGTCCTTATTCATTAGCTGATGCATGTGTCCAGGCTCTCTCCTAAGTAATCTCCTGGCTATGTACCTTTGGCCGACTTTTCTTTTGGCAGCTTACTTCAATATGCTCACCGAATTCATCGTATTTCAATTTCTGATATGTTTTGCGTTTATTTGCACAGGCCCAAAATGTGGGATTTGGTCGGATATTGAAGCTGGTATGTGATTAATTGGAAAAATAACTTTCTTACATTCATTGAGATTTCACTGACTAGTGTCTTATCACCTCCTCAAGATTGCAAGTTCTGCATTGATGTGCTTCGAATGCACTTCGAACATGTTGGTTAAGTTTGCTCACTTTTGGATGAAGGGTATCTTATAGTTGACATTGGACAAATTTGCTTACACAAGCTTTATCCTTTTTACAGGCAAGACCAGAAGCTTTTATTTTATGTTTGGCAACCGTGGCCTTGTTCGTGTCATCCCTCTCCAACGTCTTACTGGTATTTATTTATATCCCTCAAGCATAAGTTTGTAATCCTGAGGGTGAGCAGATGGTGCGGTGGATTTTTGCTAATTTAAACTCGAGTTGTTTCGGAATTATTTTTTGACTGACCAAGTAGCTGTTGCTCTTACGATCTACATGATTCATATTTCCCTACTAATAGTGAATTGTTGATGGATTCTGAAGCCCACATTTGCAGGCAGAGTTATTGACATAGTGACAGCACATTCTGACACTGATGAAGGACGTGAAGCAGCTCTGAAGGCTGTCAATCATGCTATACTCCTAATCGTTGTAGTAGTTCTTGTCGGGTATGTTGATGCGCAGTGAAGTGTTTATTGGTGGTAATTGTATGCATGTAAATTACGTTTTCTTTGATGCTGGTTAATGAAACGAAATTATTCATATTTGTTAGAATTCCTCGAGCAAGGATGAATACCTGGTCTTTGTCGATAAACTGCCCTTTTGTTTACTAGCTTGTACTTACAATTTTTGGCTGCAGGTCAACTGCAACAATGGTTCGAGCTTACCTTTTCTCAGCAGCCAGTGAACGTGTCGTGGCTAGACTGAAAAAAGACTTATTTAGTCATCTCATTGCCCAGGCAAGCATTTTGAACGTCCTATTTCCCATCAAAAAATTTGTGGTCTTAGTACTTTCTATGAGCAACTTAATTGAGGCGCTTTGCATACAAATAGTTAGATGAACCTGTGCATATTCGGCTATTCGATCGGCAATATAATGGCTTGTTTAAATACTCGTCAGATACGTTTGATAGTGTTGGCAATTTGATGCATTCAGGGCCATGAGCAGTCCACTCTTAGTTTTGCGTGTAGATGATAGGTTAGTTATTATCAGGCTAGGCCTGCAGCAAGTATGATTTGTTGCTAATTTTGAATCAAGCATGTCTTAGATTATCACTTTATGAAAGTCTCATTAATTTGGTGCGCAGGAAATAGCCTTTTTTGATGTGACTAGAACTGGGGAGTTGCTGAACCGACTGTCAGAGGACACACAGGTGATCAAGAATGCTGCTACAACCAATTTGTCAGAAACATTACGGAGTTTGGCGACTTCTATAATTGGCGTTGGGTTCATGTTGCAAACCTCATGGCACCTTACCGGTAGGTATTGCTATTGTTGTAGCCTTTTTGGCCAAGTTTTCATAATTCAATGGTTATTGTCAATTTCATTAAGTTCGCTCTGAAGTTTCCAGACTTATTTAATCCAGCTCACACATCAGAGCACTAGCTTAGTATGCATTCAATTGTAGAAAATGCTTGTTTTGCGTGCAATTAGGGCCAGTAAGGATCACGAGGGATCACGAGGATACACACTTAACTATCCTTTGTATGTTTTGGGAGGTTTGGAGTCTATTGAAAGCCTCACTCTTGAGATTGGACTGCATGCAGCGCTGGCACTTATAATTGTTCCAGCTATATCTTTGGGCATTCGATCCTTTGGAAAATATTTGCGTGAGCTTTCACACAAGACACAGGCTGCAGCTGCTGTAGCTGCTTCCATCGCCGAGGTTGAACTGAGGCCCTTGATTTTTGAATATCTTGATTAGTCAGTATCTTGATTAACTACATCTCACTCCCTCGATATTATTCACAAGATTTTGAATTTACTTATTGTGGGTTTTAACTTCTTCCAAGTATTTACGGATTTCCACACTTTGTATGGAAATGGCAGGAATCTTTTGGTGCAGTAAGAACTGTGCGTTCATTTGCGAATGAGGAATACGAGCGGTCACGATATGCTGAAAAAGTGAATGTCACACTTCAGCTTGGTCTCAGACAATCTGTAAGTGAATTACAACCTGCAAGCTAAATTCAGTTACGATTTGCATGCTCCACTAAATAACATTGTTCAGAATATTGTTTCGTGGCTTTAGATAAACTGCTCCCCAATATACAAATAAATAGCTAAATTTTGATTTTTTTTAGAATCTGGGAGTACAATTGTTCAAGTATGTATTTTTGGTACTTTCAGATGGTAGTGGGTTTATTTTCTGGAGGTGTCTCAGCTGCCGCCACGCTATCTATTGTGGCTGTCGTAGTCTATGGTGCTCGATTGACAATTCTTGGGCAAATGACAACTGGAACTCTCACTGCTTTTATTCTTTACAGCTTAACTGGTTCGAATCCTCTGAACATTTTATTGATTTATTGTTCTCCAAAGTGGATTAGATTTGGAATTGTTTTGTAATCTCAAGCAATTCTTTTTTCTTTGAATTTCATCATACTACCTGGCAATTCAGATTTCTTGTGGATTTCCTAGAGAATAGTGAAATAACCTAACTTGAAGTGATCTTTGTTACAGTTGGACTCTCGCTTGCTTCTCTGTCTGGACTTTACTCAACCGCCATGAAAGCAGCTGGAGCAAGTCGTCGAGTCTTTCAGTTGCTGGATCGAGTTTCAAGCATGTCCAAGGCTGGTGATGCCAAGCCCCTCGGGTAAAAATCCACGTTGTTGTTTGAATCGACAGTCTTCTGTCATTCGATTGTAGATGGTCTCTTATACATCAACGTATCATATAACATATGATATATAACAGATTTGAGTCTTAAATTCTCAGGAAGGATGAAGAAGGAGAAGTCAAGTTGGAAAATGTGTGGTTCTCGTATCCTTCACGTCCTAAAGACTTGGTTTTGAAGGTAACATTTGTTGTTAACATTTTCCACTTGATGTATGTAGGTAGTTTGGTAGGATATCTGTAGCTTGCAACATTTCTTGATACCATTACCTTTGCCCTGTCTCAAAGATCTTCGATGAGGATTTTTTACTGGAGTGTTTTAACAATGTATGCACAATGTGTGTTCCACAATAATATACAATTTTGGTGGTTTTGTATGTAGGGAGTGAATCTTACATTAAAACCTGGAGCAAAGGTCGCTCTTGTCGGTCCTTCTGGTGGTGGTAAGGTATGACCAATTCCAAACCCGATTCTGGATTAGAAAATTAGAAGTACTCTGAAGTTCTTGGTTATTTGAATTCAATTTCATATGTCCTGCTGTTTCTCAGTGACGTTTTATCTTGCTTTGTTTACAGACCACGATTGCAAATCTGGTGGAGAGGTTTTATGATCCTGACCAAGGAGTTATTACCCTCAATAGGATTAATCTCAAAGAAATAGACCATCGTCACCTACATGAGAAGGTATACATAGTAATTCGGTTTGATATATTTCTATCTGCTCTTTGTGGTATGCTATCTGGCATAATGTAATTTAATGTCCTACTGCTCTTAGAGACCAAATTTACTCGGGTACAATTATAGGATGACCATGTGAAGGATACCTTTAAGTTCATTGGATTGAATTGGCAAAAAATACCTTCATGGTGACATGTTTTAGAGGCTTTATACTAGAAACAATGGAAATCTCCTGGACTGGATACTACCTGTCTTCCTTCTTCCATTCGACTCTTTATTTTATGATATTGTTTAACGTGTACTTTGTGATGGTGAGATGGCTCTCACGCATCTGACCTTGTCTTATTGCAGATAAGCATTGTGAGCCAGGAACCTACCTTGTTCAATTGCTCAATTGCTGAGAACATTTCATATGGATTGAAGGATAACGTGAAGCATGAGGATATTGAACGGGTCTCTGTAAGGCACCCCTACCATTTCTAAGGATCCAATGAATACTTTACTTATCCAGGGCTCGTGAAAACTTATGGGTATAATGTTGCCGCAATCCTACTCCCAAAACCACCATAGATCTCCTGTGTATACTTGCTTGAGTACGCTTGGAACTGCTGGGTATGTTTCAGAACAACATACTTGCGCATGTGCACGGTGGACATCATGGTTAAGAGTTTCAATGCCTTTGGTTCTGAACTTTCGATAGAGTTATGATAAAACGTAACTTTTAAAATGGGTTGGAGACCATGCGTGGTTTCTTCAATACGGTAATTGTATCCTTACGGCACTTTCATGCATAACCAGGAGTTGTTAAGAGAAAAAGTCGATGCTTCAAAACTGACTTTATGTTTTGTTGTGTTTTCGTTGTCAGAGGATGGCGAATGCTCATGAGTTCGTATCGAAATTTCCTGAGGGCTATGAAACACAAGTAGGCGAGCGTGGAGTGAGATTATCTGGAGGTCAAAAGCAACGCATAGCAATTGCAAGAGCCCTTCTTATGGATTCTAGAGTTCTTTTATTGGACGAGGCAACAAGTGCTTTGGACGCTGAGAGCGAGTTCTTGGTTCAGGTAAGAACTGTATCCCATATCGACTGTGGTTTCTAGCCAATCCCAGAATATTATTGTAAGGTCCAGGATTGATGACAGTGAGTGATTATTAAATTGCCATGATGTTATCTTCACTCAACCTTGTTGAAGAGACCATTAGCTTTTAGCTTACGCTGCTCGGAATGTGAAGCGAAGTAAGAAGTATGAAACCGGTTGAAGCAACCCTTTGTTGATTTTCTGGTGATTCTTTTAACGTGTTATCTTTCTTCGCAGGATGCTATGGACCGTTTGATGAAAGGTCGCACTGTGCTGGTCATAGCACATCGGCTCTCGACGGTGCAGAGTGCAGACACTGTCGCAGTTATAGCAGACGGGAAAGTAGCAGAACAAGGTTCTCATTTTGAGCTCTTGAAAAGCAATGGCCTGTACGCCGCTTTGGTGCGGCGCCAATTGCAAGGACCTGGGACCTCCTCTGCTACCGATCTCAATGAACTTGCATAGAAACGTTGTTTTCTCATTCCTTCCTAGATGACATAGAGATATTTTTTTCTTATACATTATGTAATAATTTGAAACATTGGATGGCCTAGACATCAATATTGTTATTATTGTTGTTATTGTTATTTTGCCGCAATGGCTGACAACCTTATTTTTCAAATTCGTGTAAAGTTAGATGGAGTAAGGTATTGTATTAGTATGCAGCAACTTACTGATTTCGTCATTTACCTCCAATTGAGCTTTCAAATGTATTCAATCAACTTGAATCCATTTTGCTTCATCTTCTCTACAAATTTCAAACCACCTAATTGATTTTGTAATTGTCAAACTTATGCAAAAGCATTTTTTTTGATATTTGTGTGTTTTTGAAGTTGTGTAGTGATTTAATAAGCTATGTTGATTACAAGTTGTATAATGATTGAATGTGATTTTTGAATATATTATTATTATGGAAAAATATCATATATAGCTTTGAAATATGTTGAAATATCAAGAATACCTTTGTATTCTTGATAATAGCAAATTTATCCTACTTTTGTGATAATATCAAATCTACCTTCAACTTCATAAGGTATCACAATTATCCTTTTTTAAGTGCAATTTGAATCCAACGTGTATGTTGTAAAGAAATTGGCAAACCTTCTTTGGCACTTTTTGGCATTATATGCCTTCTCATGTTGCATAGACTATAGTAAAGCCATTTTAGTTTTTGACATTGAAGAAACTTATAGATAGATGATTCAAGACATCTCATTTTTTTTTTTTTTCCTATTTTAGCATATGAATCCCAACATTTGAGCACACATGACAAAACTCTTCTTATAGACCACAAGAATGCCTTCCTTAACTACCGTTTTTTTTTTTGTTGTGATATTTTATTTCCTAGCTTGAAGCCATAAACACAACTCATAAAATTTCATGTTGGCTTTATTCATCTACAAAGCACAAATAAGTATACCAAGACATTACAAAGTTTAGTGATTACTTTTGCTCTTGTTGATTTGAATTTTAGAATCCAATTCTATTGCAACATCATGAATGGATTACTTGAAGATTGAACATGGACCAATTTCTTTCAATTGTAGACTTAACGTGATGTTGAGAAGTTTGATGTTGGTTTGGAAATGCAAAAAGCTTCGTATTATAGAGATCTTTATTGCTTATGTATGTCTTAGTTTCTATTCTCTCCTTTGCACTTGTTTGTACCAAGTTATCAACCAAATTGTCATTGTACCTAATCTAACATATCTCACTTTGAACTTGTATAACTCAATGTAAAATCAATGGAATGATTTGAGAACTTTTGCAATAGATTGCATATCTTATTTCTTCCTAATATTTCAATTTTTAACATAATTAATGACTTAAATCATTTAAGGAAGCAAATTCCTTAAGCTAATTTTTTGCTCACTACTTTTTCTTCAAAATCCTATATCCAATGTCTCTTTTGTGCATATCTCTTAAATCAAAATTTTTAATATCTTAAATTATAGTGATTGGATTATTGACTTAACAAAAAAACTACACTCAAAGTTTTTTAACCATATCTCTCATAGATATCAAGTTATGATCCCTCAAAGTTGTTGTCTTTGACTTGCAAACTTGATGGACCCTCTTTGCTTTACTACTTTGATTTTTTATAACCTAGTTAGTTTTTTTCTTTAACCTTTTCACACAAGTGGAAACACTTCTCTTAAATACTATTCAAAAGCTTGTTTTAATTAAAGACTCGAATTAATTACAATTATTATGTGATATGGCATCAAATATCAAATCTCATCGGATATATGTGATTCAATTTGGTTATTGGTTTGTCATCCATGATAGTTTATTTGTTAGTTGTCTTGTTCATATCAAATAAGAATGGAGTACTTAAGTAGAAAAAAATCCTTCACTTGACATTCTTGTCAAGTCAAGTCTTGTGAGTGATTTTGAAAGTAAGAGCACTTCTTGTAAGAATTTGCTTCACTATAGTATCTTAGCTATTTTGGTAAAGCTTTAGAATTTTTCTTATTTTCACACTTGTATTCTTGGATTTTATTTTATTTTATTTTATTTTTTTGTTTTTTTTTTTTTTTTTTGTGGTATAAAAGATAGCATGAATTAATTTGGTATAGATTTTTAATCTTTCACTTTAAAAGAATCCCTCTTTTTCTTCAATTTGTAGTATAATAAGTTAGATTGTAGATTTTTTTATTTACAAAATAAAAAAAAATCCAATTTTTAGTTTGTATTTTGCTATTTGACTCTAAGTGTTGTTTTGTTGTATGCTGGAACTCAACTAGGATATATTGCAATTCTAAAGCTGGGATGCAAACATGGTCCTAAAGCATGGTACATGAGTGATACAAGAATAGGGTACTGGGATGATGTGACGGAACTGAGGTCACATCATTGGGCAGAGTGTCTTGAAAGAGGTTGTAATATTGCATAGGAGGGTCACAGGAGAAGCATATACTGTTATATTGTGGTTTAGCTAATATGTAAAAATAATACATATATATATATATATATATATATATATAATTTATTATATAATATAAAGAAAGCCATGTTATTATATTTTAATTAATTATAAAATATAATTAGATTATTACTATGAAGTAGTTAGTTTAAAAGAACTATTATTGAGGTTGATTTTATGTTGATAACAGTTTCATATATTTAGAGCCACCTATATTAGACAATGGTGATTCTTGAAATCTTATTTTATTTTTTTTATTTGATGTGTAGGGCACATAATATATAAATCTTATTAGAAAAAAGATTAGAGAAGGATTTTTGTATATAAAAGAATAGTTAAGCCAACTATATGGATGAATGGAGATGGATGATTAAAATCTCCATTCTTATTAGCCAAAAGTCATGCCCAATGGGCTTTAAGGAGGCTACTTGAGGTTTTATTAGGAATTAGGATTATTCATTTAAGGCCATTCAAAGATCAAAGATTAAGATTGTCAAGTTTAAGATTTTGGATATGGTTTTGATAAATTTTTTTCTTTTATAAAGAAGATATAGGTGCTCAAAATTAAGGTGCATATAAAGGGCTTATGAAAATTTGATTTGTGCAATTGAAAAGCTAGTTTAAAAAGCTAGATTTTGCATGTTAAATTTTATATATATATATATATATATATATATATATATATATGAAGTTGATTTGGAGGATCCATGACTGCTTGAAGACAAAGTTTCAAATTGAGATTTGTTAATGAGCCAATTTTATGAGGGATTTGGTTCTAACCATATCTTGGCTATTTGGATGAATCTTTCACTATATTTTTTTATAAATGTATATTATTATGTTATTAAGCTATATACTAAATTATGTGACATTTGAATTTTGGGTTTTTGAGATATGGAGAAAATAGTACTTAGATGCTTGTAAATTAAGATTCAGAGCACTTGCTAGGATTTTTAAGATGCTAGATGATTGGAATTAGATTTATAGTTCATTTTTTTGTGGTAAAGCACAAAGATAAATACTACCTTATCTAAAAATTTGAAAAAAAAATTAAATGGTTGGATTAAGAGATATAATATTCTAAAATTTAAAGAAAAAAAATCATTTGTAAGAGAAAAATGTATTGAAAGGATTTTGCTATAATTTGGGCATTCTATGCAAAGTAAAGGAGTTTTTGAGAGCCAAAACTTTAAATATATGTGAAATATATAGATAAAGAGCTATGAAAAAATTATGATATAAAGATAGATTTTTGAAAGGAAATTATGGATTATTTTTGAGCTTATGAAAAATCTAACTTACTGACAAAGAGTTCATTATGATTTGGTATAGCAAAGGATGTTAGGACATTTCTACATACTTTAGAAAGCTTTTTATACAAACCTTCTTAAATATAAAAGATTATTATTATTAGAATATCTTTTTATATTATTACATTTATTTATTTTTTATAATAAAAATACAATCACTTATTGGAGTTTGGCCAATAAGCTAAAGCTAAATTCTCTACAGCTAGGTATCTAATGTATTCTCATATAGAAAATCACACCATATGACAACAAGTTGTAGAGCCTATTTGTAAAAAATAGTACAATAGTAAGGCAAAGTTGCAAGGAGGTATTGGAGTTGCAAGCTGCGATAGTTCAGTACAAGTTGCAAAATATTAAATTATAGGCATTGTACTAAGATATAGAGGCAAAAAAATGCGGTGACAAATGATATTAGAAGATTGGTGCAGCAGAGTAAGGTGTGATCTATGAATTTGAAAACATAATTCTAAAGGGGAAGATTGCTGTGGAAGGCCAATCTGCATCATTATACTATACTGAGCTCATTGAGCATTGCAAGAACATGCAAAAAAGAGAAGAACATCACGGTGGCCAATCATAACTTAGAACATACTCTTGCTATTCAAGACATTAAGCCATGATCTTAAGTGAACATGATAATAAGACCTACAATCAAAACACCTTTTGTGGTCACAAGAACTACAATGATGGGCATTCATAGTAACAAGACTTCTACAGTCAAAAGGGTCTATAGTGACAAGACTCCTATGGTCAAAGGATTTATAGTGACAAGAATCCTATGGTCATAGATCCCATTGAATAGTTATATGGCTTTAATAATAATAAAAATAAACATATTATTTAAAACTTTTAAATATCAAATTTGGAAGTTTACTCCAAATATATATGGAGTCTAATTTTTTTTTATTTTTGAATCAATTTTATATAGAAGAGGCCTAAAGAATTTATTGGCATGCTTAATTTTTAGAGTAGAGGTCATTCAGAGCATTGAAGTGGCATTAATAAATGCCAATTGCTTTTCAAATGAATTTTGATTTTTTTTTTATATTTTTTATTTTATTATAATTTTTTTTTATTATCATACATCTTATAATTTGTAACCATCAACTATAAGTAAATGCTAGTTGCTTTGGTTTACTTTTGACTTTTACTTATATATTGTTAGAGATGAGGATTTAGAGTGGATTTTTGGATTTTATTTTTGATAGCTTCTCCTAGTTGGGAGTATTTCTCCTAGAAGTTTTTTAAGATTATCATATTTTGTGTTTTTAAAAGTTTGTATTGATAGATGTGTTATAAGAATGAGGTCGAGTTGATGGTTAGCAAGCTCTTTTTGTTTGTAGATATGTTGGACTTGTAATGATTTGAAAGTGATTACAAATTTTAGTAGTTTTGTTAGTATAGGTTGCCCTTTTAGTCTTTAAATATTTGCCCATAGCCAAGTAGTCCTTATATGGTACATAATAGGAGTCAATATTATTGATCTCTTTTACCAGATTACTTAGATAGTG